CGTCGAGAAAAGTGAGATCGTGGGGGGAGGTGGGGTGACCATACGGGAAACACGACTCATCAAACACAACATGGCGAGAGATAATAAGTTTGTTAGTGGTGAGATCAAGGCAACGAAAACCACGTTGGTTGGAGGTATAGCCAAGGAAAATGCAATGGGCTGAGTGTGGGGCAAGTTTGTGAGGAGCAGTGGTAGAGATATTGGGGTAACATAGACAACCAAAGACGCAGAGGTGAGAGTAGGAGGGGGGTCAGTTATAGAGAGTGGCATGGGGGGGAGATAAACTTACGTAGATATGGCCGGAAAATGTCGTTCATCAAACATTGAAAAGTAGCAGGCGCATTGGTGAGGCCAAAAGGCATAACAACAAACTCATAATGCCCATCATGCGTTCGGAATGCTATTTTAGGAATGTCAGTCTCCCGAACACGTATTTGGTGGTAACCTGAACGGAGGTCGAGCTTAGAAAAAATAGTGGCACCATATAATTCATCTAGGAGCTCATCTATTATTGGGATCGGGTACTTATCCTTAACAGTACTTATCCGTCAGATTTTTTGACTAACAAGACCAGTGACGAAAATGGGCTGTGGCTGGGGCGAATCAACCCACCTCGCAACAACTCCTTAACTTGTTTTTCAATTTCTGCCTTTTGCAGATAAGGTTGGCGATATGGTCGAGAGCTCAATGGTTTGGACCCCGGAATTAAGGGTATACCATGGTCATGGAAACATTTAGGAGGTAACCCTGTTGGCTGCTCATATTCATGCTCATATTCAGATAATACTTTTTGAACTGTTGGGCAAGGACTTGGGCTAGAGGAAGGCTCTGCTTCAACCAGATTAAGCTGGAGAAGTAAGGCAATACCTTGTACGCTCATCAATTCATTGGTCTTCAAGGCAGTCAACTCCGAACCTTTCAACCCTTGTAACTTATGCGTTGTACCCGCAAGACAAAACCCCAGAGTGAGGTTCTGGAAATCAATCTCAATCGGCCTTAAAGTTTTCAACCACTGAACACCTAAGACAATTGGGCAAGCTGCAATTGGTAGGACAAAAAATCAGTGGTTATTGTATACCCCTGAATAACAATGGTAAGTCCTCTTACTCGACCCACACAAGCTAAATTTTCATGGTTTGCGACCACCACTTCCAGCTTGACCCCATTATCCACCACCAGACCGAATCTCTCCACTAAAGATTGCTCAATGAAATTGTGGGTGCTGCCCCCATCAACTAACACCACCACATCTTTATTATGAATCTTAACAGGCATTCTTAAAGTTTGGGGCAGAATGGTGCCAGAAATTGCATGGAAAGAGATCTCAGCGGGAACCTCATCGAGAGGGGTATCATCACCTTCGTCCACGTTGTTCTTACCTTCTTCAGTGTCATCGACTTCACTAATCATGAATAGTTGTGGCTTGTTGCACTTATGACCTAGACTGTAGAGGTCATCACAGTAATAACACAGCCCTTTCTCCCGACGAACCGAACTTGGGGCAGGTAGAGCAAGGCATTGAGATGGTGCTGGGCCCAAAATTCCACCTGTGGGCTGAGCTTTAGATGGAGGATTAAAACTTGCAGCTCGTGTAGAAGGAGGGACCCACCTTTGCAAGCTCAGTTTCTCCTCAACCAATCGGGACAACCCCATTGCATCTGCCACAGTGCGCGGCTTCTTGAGTTTCACCTCCAAACGAATCTCCTCCTTCGGCCCACCACTAAAACAACCAAGTAAGAAAGACTCCAGAAGGTTATCAACGCGGTGTGATAACCGTTCGAAGGCCTCAATATAAGCTTCAACTGTGGTAATCAGTTTGAGCCGATGTAGGGATTTTGAGGGGTCAACATAATCAGTCGGGCCAAAGCGGCTCAGCAAAGCCGTGGTAAATTCCTTCCACGTCATCGGTCCTCGTGGTTTTGAAAACCACCGATGCCACTGTAAGGCGATGCCATCAAGATGAAAGGAGGCTAGAGTGACGCGATCTTCATCTGCCACATTTTGAAATTCAAAATATTGTTCAGCCTGATATATCCATCCTGTAGGATCATCGCCACTAAACCGGGGAAAGTGGAGTTTCATGTAGGGTTTTCCTTCATTCCGGACTGAGATGCTCTTGCTAGAACCTGAAGAGTTGTCAGAATCCCTCTCCCTTATGGCTTGAACATCTGTAACCAATTTGTGGAACATGGTAGTGAGTTTCTCGAGAGCTTCATTAGTGCTTTGCTGGAACTGTTCGAAAGTTTGTTTGCGTGTCTCCATTGGATCAGCACTGCTGTGATACCATCAATGGTATCAGAGCCAACTCGGAGTGGTGGCCTACGGAGTGGGGGCCTGGTGAAAGCAGCCGTGACCAACGTGGCTATGACCAACGAGGACGTTGGGCCTTATGGGGGGTCGAATGATACGGACTGATTTCATTGTCTCACACCGGTTAAATGGGGAACTTGGTGATGGGTTTATATAGCCAAGGGTTCTCCCACCTTAACAGCTAGCTTTCAGGGTATAGCTCTCCCTTGTGTTGTATCAGATTCTAAGGATCTCAATAATCATGGATAAAACATAATAAATATCATCAAAAAAATCAATAGATGTAAACCAAGTAAAAATAAGTAAAAGAAATATATACGAGTAGTATACAACGTAAGCACAAACTCAGTAAAAAATTATAAAATCGGTTAAAAAACAACGTACATACCTCTTTGGAGGCTTTGAGTGTCGATCTAAAGTGGAGAGATCATTCATCTGGAGACTGGAGTGGAGGCTGCTGTATATAGTGTGGAGTGCAGGTTCTACGCCGCTAGTCTGTAGTGGGTGGCGGTGGCATCTGCTCCTGAGCGAATCCACGAGAACGAAATAGGAAGACGGGAAGCAGGGAACTACTTTCGATTTGCGGTGAACGAAGAAGGAAGCCGGGAGAGGAGAGTAATTGCAGTGCGGCTAGGGTTCTTAGTGAACAAGGGAACCGTAAGTCTATAAGAAATTAACAATTGGGCTGTGTATTCTTCGTATTAAATTAACATTTTATTTAACAACAACTAATGTGTTGCCTTTGGCCCAATTTGGCAACGGTTTTTTTGTTGTCGCTACAAAATGTATGGAGTTTAATGAAATCTAAAGCTTTGTGTCTAAACTGTTGCCAAAGATAGTCATTAGCAACACTTTTAATGTTGTTGCAATATTGTGTGTTGCCTTAGGCCAAATATCTTGTAGTATGACTCTCATATCACCAAAGCTTGGTTATGATGCATATAGTGTTAACCCAAATTGGTCAACAAGTAAGTTACTTAATCCTTGGATCTATAATTATATTCCCAGTACTTGAACTAGAATATCGTTCAAATCTTATATGGCTCTCATATCACCAAAGCTTGGTCAAACATGATGCATATAGTGTTAATCCAAATTGGTCAACAAGTAAGTTACTTAATCCTAGGACCCAAAATTCTATTCCCACTACTCAAATTAGAATATCTTGGGTATTTCTAATTCTCTTCGGTAATTAGCCAACAATAAAGTCATATGAACAAATTTCAAAATAAATATGTCGACATGCTGCATTACTTATTCCAATGCAGCATTATTCACAAATCCTCTCATCTTTTGGCATTCATCAAGGCCTTCCTTCTTCATTATTACTGCTCGATCTTTGGCAAAGTTTTGGACTAAATATTGACAGATATATATGCAATGGAAAATGCCAAGGTACCACCACATGGGTGCTATCATGGGTGCACTCATGCTTCGCACAGATAAACACAGACGATAATTGTCTGTGTCGCACAGACAATTATCGTCTGTGTTTGTCTGTGCGAAGCATGGGTGCACCCATGGTAGCACCCATGTGGTGGCACCCTAGCATAGTCCATATGCGATACTTCTCCCTACCCGGCGGCCCCCTTTTAAAAAAAATCATCAAACATTATTGTTTTCAATAATGTATGATTATATTTGTGATGAAATTAATTAATCCTGCTATAGAACAAAATTAAAGGCTGCGTTAATTAATGTATGTATATGTGATTCCACAAAGATATTAGTCTGGAGTAGAAATGAAGAGAGATAGTGGCTAGGTAACATAGGATTCCTCATTTCCATAATTGGATTATTCATATTTTCTTTTTAATTTGTATGGTCACATGCAGAACCTGATGAGATGTTGTGTGTTGCAGACAAAGAACACATGCATGGATTCCAAAATGGAACACTACCTCCAATTTCAGCTGAAGATTTGTCCAGTTTTGACTTTTTTCCAGGGCCGTCTCCGAGAAATCAGGGACCCTGGACGTCACGGAAAAAATGAGCCATTGTGTCATAATAAAATAAAGTCTATCAATTAAATTTTTTTAACAATAAAAAATATTATAGTAATAAGAATAATAAAATGTCAAATTCATAGTCTTATAAAATTATAATTCATAGTCTTAACCTGTTTTTTTATAAATATATATAATATATATAGAATATATACAAAAGAAGAAAAAAGTGGGGGCCCCTCCAAAATTGGGTCCTGTCCAGGTGGCCACCTTGCCTCTGGCTTGAGCCGGCCCTGCTTTTTTCGGTCAACTTTTTTCAACATTTGACCTATAATTAAATAAAATATATATTGCATTTTAATTAAATAAAATAATATTTTAAAAACATTTGATATAATGAATCAAATAAAACTCTTTTTGTATCAATATCTAATATCATTATTTTTATTTAATTTGAAATCAAAGTTTACCAGTTTTGATCGAAAAAAGTCAAAATTAGACAAATACTCAAGGACGGAGAGATAATGCCATTCTCTTAATTATAGCTTTGTGTCAAATTATAGCAGTGCAACGTTGAACAGTTGGCAAAAATAAGGAACGCTAAGGGGAAGACACGATTACAACGCAACTATGCTGGGAAGCGACTATGCTAAGCATTAAACTTCTGCAAATACCAGTTACATGATTCATTTTCTGTCACCAATCTGCGATTAAAGCCTTATTTACCTCTCCAATTTTTTTTGTGTTTAATTAGAGTAGTACGTACTATACACTATTCTGATTCTCTCGATCGGCATCATAATTAATGCTCTGTC